CAATTACACAAGTCAATATATCTATGAAAAATTTACATCCATAAAAAAAAAAAAAAAGAGAAAAATTTATAAATGAAAAAGAAGAAAACAGAGTTAAAATGATCTCCATTCTTCCACCTACAAAAAAAATAAAAAATAAAAAATTAAGTAAAAACGAAAAACATTTTAAAATCACCTAAAGAAACTCCAAGAAAATCAAAATATAATAACATACCATATATTATATTAAAACATCTCCCTTACAAAAACATAAAAAACAAAAATAAAAATAATATTTCAAATTAACCGTCATATAATATAATACAAACTAATAACATAAAGATGAAAAAAATACTATTAGAAAATAGTTTTCAATTGATAGAAAATTTTTTCGATTATACAAAAAATTATGCTAGTTATACTTATAATTAATCGACAGACATAATCAACAAAAAAATTATCGAATAAATGTGCATCGAAAATAAATATACATATATAATCGATAAACATGACTATCAATTATCTTGATATTTGATTTTAAAAAAATAAAAAATTTATATTTATTAATTAAATTATTAACATTAACCAAAATATATGTAAATATATGTCAACTATCTTGGTATTTGAGTATGATAAAATAATACCGTATCTATTTACAAATAATAAAAAATTATTCACCTAGTTACTTTTTACCTTTTTATAATTTTTCTAAACTATTGATTGCAATGGATTTTGTTTTGTCAAAATTTTGACTCTATTTGTATTTAACAATACTTATACTTATGGTTTTTAGTTGATATTGAAGAATTTTTCTGTGATGAAATTTTTTTGCATGAATAATGTTGACACAGGAAACATATATTAGTGTCAATATTTCTTGGTTAATGCTTAAAATGTTGATGCTTTTATGACTATATTCTTGTGGTTAAACACCCAAATTTCCTTTCTAGCGTGTCCAAACCAAATTAATTCTCATATGAAATTAATGAACAATCTAATTATTCTTCATATTTATGTTAATGATGTGAGATTAGATTATATATAACAATAATACTAATGAGCTTAATTAAGTAACTCAATCTTAATTTCCTTTTAATAAAAGTTAGAGATTTTAAATTTGAGTCATATATATGACATACGGATGGGGTATGTTGAAGGATAGGAGAAAGTTGTCTTATATTGTGTGAATATATAGAGACCAATATAAATATGATTTATTTACATATAAATTTTACACATTATGCTTAAATTTTGCATATTATGCTTATACAAAATCTCAATCATTTATTTCTCTATTTTAATGATTGAAATTTATTCAATTATCTTTTTACTTAAAAAGTCATGATAAATTTTAACTTTTAAAAAGTGAAAAAGAGAATAATTAAGATTTTTTATAAATATAATGTGTATAATTTATGTCTTATTCAATCCCTCCACATATATATAAAATAGTAGTGATATGGTCATAGTTATGGATTTGATTGAATTCATTGCGTATGACTTACAAGATTATATTATAATCAAATTCAGTTTATATATGCTTAGCAAACTTGTTAGTTCATTAGAAGGCTACCGACCACCGAAATGAGGTTGATTGTATCAGACAAGAAAGGGATTGGATCATGGTACAGCAAGTTTGGTTCTTGCATATGTCACAGGTCGTATGTACAAATTAAAAAACATGATGATTGATTATGTATACAAATTTTTAAATAAACGAATAAATAAATAAAAACCTCGATTTCCTTCCTACAGTAGTATATTAAAACCAGTTAAGAACAAAAAATCGTGATGTCATTTATTATTGGTAGTTAACTACCACAATTAATCCATATGGTATTTGTTACCACCGCCGACACAGGTTTCATGCTTGATTTGAAAAATTCTAAGAGTTAAGTTATGATGAAAGTGATGCAATAACATCCTTTTGCTTCATACTTGAATCATGTTAATTAAGAGACTGTTCGGCTAAAATTTAAGCTATGTTGGGTTTTATTTAGTTGATAAGTACAGAATATTTGATATTTTTAAACATTCTAACTAAAACCTAATTTGACAATACCATTTGGTGTTGCTTTATAACTATAACGGTTAGAAATGTTGTGTTATATTGTCAACAAAAATATTTAAGTATTTGATAATTATATTTCTAAACAACTACTTATTGTAAAATTACTGAATTAGACACATTATTATTTTAAATTAATTAATTAATAATTTAATATATAATGTATGAAAAATAATTTGAGAATTTTATTAATTTTGAATAAGATGATTTTTGTATATTTTTCCGGAAAAGTAAAAATAGAAAATTTATCAAATACATAAATCACAAAAAATTCTATGAAAAGTACTGTAGATAGCGTTGTCAAACTAAGTCAAATTATTTAAAAAAGTTATAAATAAATAAAATTAGTCAAACAAAATACATCCATAATTTTTATATAAATTTTATTTGAGTATGTCGTTTGTAGTAATACTAAAAAAATCTAAGTTGAAAATAACTTTAAAAAAACATTTTTTTGGTACAATAAAGAGTTAACTATTCGACGATACAAATGTTTAAATCTCTGACATTGACTCTAAATTTAAAATTTTAAACTAATAGATACTAAATACATCCATAATTTTTATATAAATTTTTTTTAAGTATGTCCTTTGTAGTAATACTAAAAAAATCTAAATTGAAAATAACTTTAAAAAAAACATTTTTTTTGTACAATAAAAAGTTAACTATTTGACGATATAAAGGTTTAAATCTTTGACATTGACTCTAAATTTAAAATTTTAAACCAATAGATATTAACTTGACTAAACTCTTATTAGCAATTAGAAAACTTTTTTAGAAAACTAAGTCAAACTAAATATATCCATGATTTTTATAAAAATTTTATTTGAGTATCTCTTTTGTAGTAATACTAAAAAAATCTAAGTTTTTTTTTTTTTTGAACAGCCTAAAAAAATCTAAGTTGAAAATAACTTTAAAAAAAACATTTTTTTGGTATAATAAAGAGTTAACTGTTTGATAATACAAATTTATATCTTTGACATTGATCTTAAATTTAAAATTTTAAACTAATAAATACTAACTTGACCAAACCCTCATCAGTAATTGAAAAACTTTTTGAGAAAACTGTGTTAGAGAGCTATAAGTTTTGTGCAATAAAAAAAAAAAAAAAAAAGCTTTACAAAGCCTAGGCCAGTCAAATACTAGATTAGACAATATCAAGAGTTAGGATTAGAATTTACAAGGTTGACATTTTGAGACTTGAAAATGAAATTGCCACAGTATAAAAGCCAACAAAATGAAATAACTATTCTTTATTATTTATTTTATCATTTCCTACTATATATGGTCTAAACTAATATAAAATATAGTAATTAGATTGATTTAATGAATCATTTGAATTGCGAAAGCCATCAAAGCTAATGGTCTTAATTTGTTTATTTAATCAAACACAATGAAAAATCCACGTCATTTTCTTTTATTCAACACTTTTCAACTTTTCCCACCAATCTAATCTGCTTACCTAATTATGCCAACAATATCACATAATGATTATAATTTGAATGTTTGAAATCTTTTTCTAGTTTTTGAAAATCCACTTTTTTTATGTGGAAAAAAAAAAGTCTAACATGTATTTTGTGTGACTTGATTTGTTTGCAATAAATTATTTCCCTAACGAGTAGCAATGTTTTAATTTGCAAAATTATCAAAATAGAATTAGATGTTCCATCTCTGTCTCTTGTGATTTCCTATATGTTTCTTAAGTATGAAAAGCACCATCTCCAGCAAACACAAAAACAACTTTAGTCATCAGAGCCGGTGCTAACAGGTTAACTACTCGGGAAATCTTGATGTAAAATCACGCAAGTATACAACCGTTTAATTACTCCTACAATTGTAAAATTAAAAGCCAGTTTGGACCAAGCGGCCTATGCCTATAAAAATAGGTGCGCAAGCAAAAGGATGTTGGTACTTGTTATTAATCTTCAAGTGCATTGCATCATCTCACATTAATTTCTCTCCATCCCTCCCTCTGAAGAAGAAGAAAGAGCTTGGGATCCCAACCACCGCCACTGGCCACCGCCATCGCCCAACTTTTTCTTCTTCTTCTTCTTCCAATTATATTTTAGTATTCTCCCAACACAATTCAGGCTCAATATGGCATGGCAAACTCTGTTGAGTTTAATATTCTCTCTATTGGCTTCCCACTCGTTCACATCAGGTACTGTTTGGCAATTCTGATTCTTGAGTATTATTTGGCTATTGCTTTGCGTTTTCAATTTCGTTTTTAATTTGATTCTTGTTGCATTGAACAGCAGTGTTAGCGACGACGTTTACATTAGTAAACAAATGCGAATATACTGTTTGGCCGGGAATTCTGTCGAATCCAGGCGTCGCTCCGATTTCCACCACCGGATTCGCCCTCCAGAAGGGCGAAACCAAGACCATTAACGCACCTGCTTCGTGGGCTGGTCGCTTCTGGGGTCGAACCCTCTGCTCCCAAGACTCCAACGGGAAATTCTCTTGCGTGACTGGAGATTGCGGCTCGGGAAAGCTAGAATGCTCAGGGAGTGGTGCCGTTCCGCCTGCGACTCTGGCAGAATTCACTCTCGACGGTGCCGGCGGGATGGATTTTTTCGACGTGAGTTTGGTGGACGGGTACAACCTCCCGATGCTGATAGCTCCTCAGGGTGGCACGGGGACCAACTGTACAAGCACTGGCTGCGTGACAGACGTCAATGGCCAGTGTCCGTCTGAACTGAAAGTAACGAGCCAAGACGGAGCGGAGGGCGTTGCCTGCAAGAGCGCCTGCGAGGCATTCCAGCAGCCGCAGTACTGTTGCAAAGGCGCGTATGGCTCACCGCAGACTTGCAAGCCATCGTCCTACTCCCAGATCTTCAAGAAAGCATGCCCACAAGCCTACAGCTACGCCTACGACGACAAGAGCAGCACCTTCACATGCGCACATGCCGATTACCTTATCGCTTTCTGCCCTTCTCCCAACACCGGGTACACTATTACTATAAAGCCCTTTTAAACTTTACGTTAAAACGTTTTAACTCTCGACTTTCAAGAAGAGTTTTGTCCGAAAAGACAAAACTCGACAAAAAGCCGTAAAATATGAACGTTAGTGTAAAATTCCCGTCGTTAGGTTACGGCGCCACTTTTAACGCCGCTACCACACAAATGAGTAGTAGTATTTTGTCAGCAACGGCATTTCCAATCTGCCGCCATTTTAGTTCACTCTGGGCTCACTTTTCGGTGCCGACATAATTAAGTACGCTTTATGTCAGACTTTGCAAATGTGGGGGCAGTGTGGTCTTTTAATTTTTTTTATAATACAAAGTTTTTTTAATTTAATAATTTTAAAATTTTTTTATAATTCGAATTATATTAAAATATAAAATATAATTTTTTAAATTAAATTTAAACAAAACCTTTTAACATCGAGAGTTCTTACTTATTTGTAAATCTTTGTTTTATAATTTAACATAATTTAAATTACATAATCCTTTGTAAAAATGCAAAATACAAGTCATGGGAGGAAAGGCAGTTAGAGTCCTACTATTTATGAGTTAATATTTTACAGGCGGGTGTTGTTTAGTAAGATATTTTGATTTTTTTTACAATTTAATAAGCGTCGTTGTGAAATAACCTACTTGGCGCTGTAAACATGACAACCACGAATCCCCAGAACTTACTTTTCCACAATAAACCCGCAATTTCAGAAGGCTGCACCCTCCACGTTCTTCTAGCTTGTTCCGGTGGAGTAACGGTCAGCGTTGTTACCTAAAATAACGCGATCCGTTCCTACAGTCCATACGTTTTCATTTCTATACGTTTTCATTTCTTAACGGTTACTTTTCCTTTTGCATTGTTATTGCAGCCAGAAATCGTCACAGGGACAGTCGCCGGACCAAATTACTCAGACAACAACAGCACCACCGGTGATTGGCGGCACCGGCACAATGACATACGAAGGTCTTTCTCCTTTTGACGAAAGTGGCGCATCACAGTCTACGTCTGCCCACATGTTGAGATCACATGCGATTGCGGGTGCACTCAGCATCACCGTGGCGATTTGGCAGTTGGTGCAGCTGTTGTAACTCAACTTTTTGCGCCAGAGCAGGCCAATCTAACAATTTAGCCCAAATGACGAAAAACGTGGACCCTCTCGTTAGTTCTCATCTATGGGCCTCACGACAAAGACGTGAGGCCCATGAGTTTGGCCGTGGGGACGTGGCCAACCGCCCCCTGATGGCTACCGCTTTCCCACAATTAAAAATCGACAAAAACCCTTCTTAAGCCCCTAGACTTATCCCAAATTAGCATTTAATCCATTAAACTAAAAATGATGCAATTAAGCCCTTCAACTCCTCAACTAGTGCCAATGAAACCCTATCACTAACCGCCCAAATGGTTGTGATCTGACATGTACTGAATTTGTTTGTTCTTCCTCTTCCACTATTCTACATAGATGTAATACTAATATAGCAGCACTATTTTATGTAGATATATATGGATTTTTTTTATTGTGTTTATTTTGATAATTTTCTATCATGTATTTTAATAAAATTTAGAGTTTAATTTATGACATTTAGTAGAGTTTTATTATATATGTTAAAAAATGCCATGAATTATGAACTCCAAGTTCTTTATCTTTTTTTGCAATGTATGAATCATGAACAATATATGTACTATCTTCAATTTTTATTAATGAAAATGTGATATATAATTATTTTACGATTAAACTCTAGATTCTTATCTATTTTTAAAAAAATTTATTAAAAAATAAGACTAAATTATCAACAACCGTTATGTTTAAATAAAAGAAATTAAGTTTTTCTTAAATAAAATTTCAAATTTGAGTTTTATAAGTAAAGAGATAAACATTGAAAGAGCATTTGGCAATTTACATGAAATAGTGTCATTTAGTTTAAGTAATAGATTCTCTCTCTTTCTTTTTTAATCCATTTTAAGAGTTTTAGGTTTAATTTTATTACAAGAGGGGATGGTGAATGGATTCTAGAATTTGTAACAACCACCACATTTTTTTTTTGGGAAATGATTATTGTATAATCTTTTTATCTTATTTTTTTGTATAACCTAACATTTCATTAAAATAATTGGTTCTTTTAAATTATGTGAGATTCGTGATATTAAATACATTTACTCATTTAATAACATATAAAAGTTGTATAAAAAGATGAAACAAAAAAACTGTTCTTATAGCATCACTTTTTTTTTTTGTTGGGTAAAACAACCACCACATTTAGTGCCAAGAAAAGGAAAGTATTAACCCCACTAGTAATTAGTTTTGTCCCAATGCTTTTGCGTCTCTTGGGTCTTTTTCAGTTTGTCGTGCAATTAGTGAGGCAACAGGAGGGCGATTTAAGCAATATATAATAGAAAAGTGAAGAATAGAAATGAAATGGATAATATATAATAAAATGGTGACCTCGAAGAGGTGGGTGGACATGCTTGTGATGACTGACGTACGAAACAAACCAGCTGATGACTTGGAATCTTAGCAGTAGGTGGCAAGTATCGATCTATCGAGAGCATCCACCACAAATATAGTGTATATGTTGTTTTTGACCGGATAAAAAAGAAATTAGTTTTATAGTGTATCTAAATTCATTTAGAAATGTTTTAATTATTAAATTAATATATAAGATTTATTTATATAAAATTTTAATTATTTATCATTTTATTTTTAATAATTGAGATTTATTATAATTTTTTAAATAAAAAATATAATTATTTTTAATAAATATAAATAAATTTCAACTATTAAAAATAATGAGATAAAAGGTTGAAATTTTATATAATATAATATGAATGAGAATAATGCAAGGTAAGTTGTTCTTCTAAAAATTTTTTTAAAGGATTTATCTAAAAATTCATCTTTAGTTTTATATTTTTTAAACTAACAATTGAATTAAAAGTTTTATTCATATGTATCATGCAT